CGCGCCTCTTCCCGCGCCCGCCCAACTTTTTCCCTTCCGAAGGACAGAGCCTGGGGCTGGCCGCTTCGGACGACAGTCTTGGGGCAGGCAGGCCCGGCGCCCCATCTATTCCAAACCCGACCGGGCCCCCAAGACTCCAGAAGGGCGTAAAGTTTCCGGCTTCGCCTGCGGGGATTGGAAGTCAGTGGCCGCCTCGGGCCAGGCAGCCTTCGGCGCTGGCAGCTTTAAACACGGGCGCTGCCCTAGTCGTTTTTCGTGTTGCCGAACGTTCTCGAGGAAAGAAATCTGGAGAGTTGAAAGGGCCGCCCCAGCCCAGAGGGAGCCAGTTCTTGCTCTCTTTGACGGCTGGCTTTGAAAAAGCCCTAGACACAAAAGGCTAAAGTCGGTAGGACGTACGCCGTCGGACACTTTATTTTCTGGGTAAAGAGGTGGACTCACAGGTTGGGAGGAAGTGAGCTGAAATGCCCCGGGAGGGGGGGGGAGGGTGCGGTGGAGTGACGTCGTGGGGTGTTCTCCTGGAGGCTGCCGAGAGGCTCCCACGGTGCCTTCCGGCCAGGCTGACTCAAATGAGACCAACGCAGCCAATACTCTGTAAATTGGGCCTTAAAACACGAAGGGTTCACAGCTCCACTGTAATTCAGAAAAACCAGCTTTCCGCCCGTGTATCGCCCCAAAGGGCCAAGTGACCCTGTTCTAATCCAAGTTCCCTGTAGTGACAGCTTTTGTCTATTTGAAAGTTCTCTCCCCTTTCCTCCTTTAGCCGTCTAACTCCTGCGCCCTCCAAATTTGCGTTCACCTACACCTGGTGCCCAGAGGATTTCCTTTTCTCCGCTCAGAGCTCCCCTTACCTCCCCAGGCCTCTGGATTGCTCCCATCATATGCCCTGCTCAAAAGCCAAGCATACTGAGACTTATATCCATAAGCCACTGATCTCTGACTTTGGTGTTCGAAAAAAAAAGCTACACAAAATACCCCTAAGCCCTGCAGGAAGAGGACAGAAGATAGTAGAGCCTAAGATGTCATTAGATTAGTGGCATTTGTGTAGCTGCTGTGTACCAGACAGCAGTTAGCCACAAATACAGGGTTGAATAAGCTTCAGGGTCCTTTCACTGTGGTGGGACAGGCAAAGTCAAGTCTGAGCATTTATCAGATCAGTTGGAAGTAGAGACCATCAATCAGGAAAAATCCAGGGAGACTTTTGTTCCTGATAATAATGTTTACCCTTCTGTGTAACTGCCCAATCAGTTTTATAGTCTCCTCACGGATAAGTGTCATTTTAACTTTGAAATGTTTATGTCTTCTGAACAATTGTCTCATGTCAGTGTGCTGAAATAAGATCAAGGCCCAAACCAGCTCACTTAATTGCTAGTACGGATTTTGATACTGACTATATTTGACCACTCTTTTGTCTGTTCTTCAGATTAAATAATGGATGATACTAAAGTTCCAAATTCCAACAGCTGAATTTCTAGGTGGTTATGCTCCTCTTTGTTCTATCAGTGTCACAGGAGGACAAAACCAGCTTTTCTCTGTAATCCAAGAAAAGACTTCTTTGTATCAACATTGCACATATTTTTGGGTCAATTCCTTGTTCATTATATCAGCAAATTCCGTCAGTTCTGTCTTCAAATTCTTCTAGACTCTGGTTTGCCACCTCCCTGGACCAAGCCACCCATCATCTCTTGCCTGGCTGACTTCCATCTTTGTCCTCAGAAAATCAAAAGAAAAAAGAGCCCTATTAGAACCTAAGGCACACCACTCTGTTCAGACTACTTCAGGGTCTTTTCAGTGACCTACAAAATACTACATAATGCAGCTAATCCCCCTAGCACCCCACTCAATCCCTCTCTCAGAAGTTCTCTGATTTTGCCATATTAGCCCACTGTCTTGACTTCTCAAGGCTTTGAATTTCCTACCCCTTTTACCTAAAAGGCTCTCTTCTTCACACCCCCCAACTCTACCACCCCCCATCTTCCTTGCCTTGTTCACATTTTTGCACCAATATTGTCCCTTGGTCATCCTATTTAATACAGCATAGCCCCACCCAAGCAACTTCCCCTTCCCTACTTAAATTGTGGGGTTTTTTCCCCCTGCATTAGAATGTGCTGGGTTACAGGGGGAAATCCCTCACTCCCTTTGGTTCTTCTCAGGCTGGATGAATAATCAAAAACAGTATCAGGTGGGTAAGCAAAGGGAAAATCAATTTAATAATGTATGTAAGGGGAATTTACAGTGCTAAATTCTAAAGTAAAATGGGGTAAGCCAGAGATAGATATCTTGTGTTAAGGGACTGGAGATCGCAAGGAGAGAAGAGGATGAGACCTCGTATGATAAAGACAGAATGGCTTCATCTTTTACTCTTTAGTTTGGTTTAAAAAAAATAAATAAAAAAGGATGAGTTTCTCAAATAGGGAGAACACATTCACTGATAAACCTACACCTGATTGATGCCCCCCCCCAACTACAGTCTAGGTCATTAAAATGTGGGCGCAGAGATTGTTTCTTTGATTAAGAAGAGGACTGAAACAAGAGCAGAAGCTTTTTCTAGGGTCATCACTACTCTTAAAAATAATCTGGGAGGGAAATGCACTGAACTATGGTGAGGGCACATGGGTGATCTGGTGATGGGAAACCCCAGATGATTGCAACTGAGATGGAAAAATGCACAAAAATATGTAAAAATAAATTATTATAAATTTTTTTTTCTTATAAGAAGCAGTAACATTTTCTCCAGAGGCCCATCAGGCCTCAATTGTCCTTATTGCACATATTACGGAAGAGAACTACTCTGGCCATAAAGCTTAAATGGCCCTTTTGGGAAGATCAGTCTCACAAGTAAAAACTGCAAGAACTCAGACATTTGCGCTTGCTTGATTCATTGCTGCATCCCCACTGTTAGAACAGAATTCGCATATACCAGGCATTCACTAAGTATCTGTTGTTCACACATCCATTCCAATAATATTTATTAAGAACCTACCACTATGTTTCAGGCAGTGTGTTAAAAGACATTGTATGTTCTCTTGGAGCTTGCAGCTGATGAGGATGGCAGATAATAAATATATAGATAAGTAATTCCACTTCAGTAGGGCTGAATGCCACAAAGAAAATAAAATGGTGAAATGTGACAGAGTGACTGGTTATATAGTCACTACTTTATATAGAGTGGCAGGAAGACCTCTCTGGAAATGAATTTGAGCTGAATCTTAAGAGAGTCAGCGCTAGGAAGGTCTGGATGAAGCACATTCCAGGCAGAGGACACAGCGAGTTACAGGACCTGGGTTAGAAATGAACTTGAAGTATCTCATAGTAGAAGGTTATCTGTTATATCGCCTGCTTGCATCCAGTGAATCTCTAAAGAACCCTAGATAATGTGTGCCTAGACACAAACAACATACTGCTTCATTCTCTCCCACTTGATGTAACTTACTCACCACCTAGGTTAGTCTACTGCAGAAAGTCATCGGTATTTCCTTTAGCAGCCTAGGTTGTATGAGAGAGACATAAGAATGAATGAAGCAGGAAACATGAGACTGAAGGTATAATTTTCTGGTTATTCTGAGTCTTCTATTTCTTACCTGTGGGCTGATGACATGAAGTTCAAGAGGAACTACAGTTATGGGACCATAATGCTGTACTTAAGGACCCAAGGGCTCCTGGTGGGGAGAGGATCATAACTCTCTTGCTTCTAAAGTATATTTAAAATTTTTAACAGTCAGAGGGGAGGGAGAGAAGGATTTGAAAAACCCATGTTTAGTCTCAATCCAGTTTCTAGTGGTAGATAAGTGTATGGTCATTGTTCCTTTCCAACTGACTCTCCTAAGTAGGAGACAGTGCGTCTTGAAGGGCTTGTCCTTTCCCCCACTAATGTGTAGGGCGTTGAAAACATCTCTGCACATACATGGCCATTGGATTTGCATTTCCTCCTCCTTCTACAACCTTCTCTTTCAGTGAGCTTCCCAGTCCAGCCCACCCACCCCCAATGCACTTAGTAACTATTCTGCATCCCAAAGATTTGAGACAGAAATCAGGAAGATTAGGAAAAACATAAAATTAAGAGAAAGGGGAAAACTTGGGTGGAATAAATCCACTCTGAAGACTGAGTGGATTTAATATGTGAAAATTATCTGTAAACTGCAAAACACCATTCAATGTCAGAATCATGATTTTTCACCACCTATCAAGTTCCTGACAAGTCTGCTCAATAAATAATGAATGAAGAAAATGAATGGCAAAAACATTAAAATTAATACTGAGAGGGAAGGAGGAAAGAGACAGAATCTGAGGTTGTCTCCAAGAAATGTTCAGTTCATTCATCATCCCTCCAATAAGTGTGAACCTTTTCTGTATGCCTGTTTTAAAAATCATTGAGTTTTTACATTCAGAGGAAGAAAAGAACCGGATACAGAGATTAAAGAGATTAAATAACATTAAGTTTGAATGAATCCTGGAATAAAATGATCTTAACATAGATTTGGCAAAAGATATGCCAATGCCAAATTTAAAAAGAAAGAGAAATGTTATGTGAAGGACATATCTAAAACATTAGGTTTAGAAAATACAGAAAAT